AAATCCCATTATTCCTTTGCTATTTAAACTTGTCATTTCATCTCTTGACATTTTAAAATCTTTACTCTATTTTGTCAATTCTAAATGTCACTCTATAATTTCCCTTAACAAAATGTCAATTCAAAATTGATGCTCTTTCGTTATGTTTGCGATTACCATTTCCTTTTCAACCACCCTAAATAATAATACCAGACTGTCACTGTCAGTGTCACTCTTTTACTAAAGACTTAAAGAAATAATTACTTTAAGATTCTGTAAAATTGTCATGCAAGAAAATTTTGCTTATACGTAGCTACCTTTCAAACATATGGTGTGGTATTATTGTTCTTGTCAGCAGCAGCAACTACAATAAAAGCAACAAGAACAACAACAACTAGACTTCCGTCAACATCAAACAGTCATTGACTGCTGCACAGTGGTATAGGAAAAAAAAAGAGGGAAATAATTCGGTAACTTCTAAACGGTTAATCCGATTTTAATGAAATTTGGTATGCACAAAGAGGAGGTGTTGTCGAGTTTAGGTTTTGAATTTGGACCTTATAGGCCAACCAGGGGCCCGGCGGGGGGTCCTCAAATTAGGACACCTCGGCTATGTTAAATTTTTAAAACGATCCTATTTCTTCATTTGAGTTCCGATTTAAAAAAAATTTCGTATATAGAATCTCCTCATCGAGCACTATAAAAAATGTCGTCGTAGCAGTAAATTATCTCTTATAGTTTAGGAGATATTCGCATTTGAATATTAAAATTTTTACCGTCCTTACTTTAGTTTTTTTGATCCAAATATTTCCGATTTTCGCCATTTTTTTTTATTTGCTTAACAACAAGTTTATATACCAAGCAGTGAAAGAATTATGTAAAAATCATGACTGAGTCCAAAGTTATAGGCATTTAAATTTAAAAAATTAAAAAAAGGCGATTTTTTGTCATTTTTTTGGGAAAAAAGTATCTTTTTCTTTTTAAGTTATCTAAAAAGTTTCTAAGAAGATGTATATAGAATTTATACTTTTTGGAAAGCTGACTTTACATAAAGTACGATAAATGAAACAAAACCTAAAAATTTTTGATACCGAGGGGACCAGGTCCATCCAAAAAAACCCTATTTTTTATGGAAAATTAAATTTTGAGCAAAAATTCTCAAATCGCATAGTCGATATCAAATTATAGTGACCTGTTTTATATGACCCAATATGTTCTTAATCATTTTGTAACGGGTTTCGATAACCCCGCCCCTGGTATGGATATAATAGGCAAAAAACTAAAAAATCCCATTTTTGGGATTTTTTAAAACTTTTTTGGGAGTTCCGGGATTTCTAATAAGAAAATTCGAAATTTTGATTTAATTTTGGATTTTAAGTAAAAAAGTCTACCTAACTGTAAAATTTCATCAAAAAATATTCATAAATAAAATTTTTATTGCAATTTGAAAAATTTGTATCTTCGCAAAAACTGAATAAAAAACATTTTTTAATTTTTTTTAAAAAAAGTATTCCGCGAATTTTTTAATTTTCAAAAATTATATACAGTTTTGAAAAATAGACAAAATTACCTTTCCATTGATATATAACATGCCTACCTAATGTTTTTTAAGTGACAAATTAATTAGGGAAAACTCAACATCTTTTAGAAAATTTACCTAGCACTATTATTTTCATCCATATATGTAACAAATTTAAGAGTTAACCTTATGGATGAAAATAATAGTGCTAGGCAAATTTTCTAAAAGATGTTGAGTTTTCCCTAATTAATTTGTCACTTAAAAAACATTAGGTAGGCATGTTATATATCAATGGAAAGGTAATTTTGTCTATTTTTCAAAACTGTATATAATTTTTGAAAATTAAAAAATTCGCGGAATACTTTTTTTAAAAAAAATTAAAAAATGTTTTTTATTCAGTTTTTGCGAAGATACAAATTTTTCAAATTGCAATAAAAATTTTATTTATGAATATTTTTTGATGAAATTTTACAGTTAGGTAGATTTTTTTACTTAAAATCCAAAATTAAATCAAAATTTCGAATTTTCTTATTAGAAATCCCGGAATTCCCAAAAAAGTTTTAAAAAATCCCAAAAATGGGATTTTTTAGTTTTTTGCCTATTATATCCATACCAGGGGCGGGGTTATCGAAACCCGTTACAAAATGATTAAGAACATATTGGGTCATATAAAACAGGTCACTATAATTTGATATCGACTATGCGATTTGAGAATTTTTGCTCAAAATTTAATTTTCCATAAAAAATAGGGTTTTTTTGGATGGACCTGGTCCCCTCGGTATCAAAAATTTTTAGGTTTTGTTTCATTTATCGTACTTTATGTAAAGTCAGCTTTCCAAAAAGTATAAATTCTATATACATCTTCTTAGAAACTTTTTAGATAACTTAAAAAGAAAAAGATACTTTTTTCCCAAAAAAATTACAAAAAATCGCCTTTTTTTAATTTTTTAAATTTAAATGCCTATAACTTTGGACTCAGTCATGATTTTTACATAATTCTTTCACTGCTTGATATATAAACTTGTTGTTAAGCGAATAAAACAAAATGGCGAAAATCGGGAATATTTGGACCTGCTATTATCAAAAAAAACTAAAGTAAGGACGGTAAAAATTTTAAAATTTTAATTTTCAAATGCGAATATCTCCTAAACTATAAGAGATAATTTACTGCTATGACAACATTTTTTATAGTGCTCGATGAGGAGATTCTATATACGAAATTTTTTTTAAATCGGAACTCAAATGAAGAAATAGGATCGTTTTAAAAATTTAACATAGCCGAGGTGTCCTAATTTGATGACCCCCCGCCGGGCCCCTGGTTGGCCTATAAGGTCCAAATTCAAAACCTAAACTCGACAACACCTCCTCTTTGTGCACACCAAATTTCATTAAAATCGGATTAACCGTTTAGAAGTTACCGAATTATTTCCCTCTTTTTTTTTTCCTATACCACTGTGTGCTGTATATATTACAACATTTGCCCAGGCTTATAATTTTCTACTTTTGGTATGTTCTTGTTAGTTTAAACAGAATTGGGGTGGCTGACGACGAGCGTCTTTGTCGGCAAGATATATTCATAGATTCACCATGAACTTTTCGAATGGTCTAAAATCTTCAAGTGAATTTCCATTTGGCAGTAAATGTTCATTTCCTTCACTTCCCTCGTTAAGAGGGAATAAAATAAAATCTCACTTAGAAATGGAATTCTTTATTTGAAATGTTTTATTGCTTTCATTGCCAAAACCATGTCGCTATCGTTCTAATTGTAATCCAGAAAGAAATGTTATTGTTATTTGTTATAGCAGCCAGGCATGGAATATAGAAATATTATGACTATAGTGTGGTCTAAAGTCTTGACTATAGTCAGGTCTATATATAGTCTGGTCTATAGTCCTGATTGTATTCTGGCCTATAGTCTGGTCTATAGTCGTGACTATAATCTGGTTTGTCTGTAGTGTATTTATAGTCTTCGCTGTACTGTAGTCTATAATCTTGACCATAGACTGATCTACAGTCTTGACTATAATCTGGTCTATAGTCTGGTCTAACACTTGATTATAGTCTGCTCTATAGTATTCACTTTAGTCTAGTGTATAGTCGGGTGTATAGTCTTGATTATAGTCTGGTGTATAGTCTTGACTAGTGCCTGGTCTATAGTATTAACTATAGTCTGGTCTATTGTCTCGACTATAGTCTGGTCTATTGTCTCGACTATAGTCTGATTTATTGTCTTGACTATAGTCTGGTCTGTAGTCTTTACTATAGTATAGTCTATAGTCTTGACTATAGTCTGCTCTACAGTCTGCTCTATACTATTCACTATAGTCTAGTGTATAGTCTGGTGTATAGTCTTGATTATAGTCTGGTCTATAGACTTGACTATAGTCTGGTGTATAGTTTTGACTAGTGCGTAGTCTCGACAATAGTCCGGTATATAGTCTTGACTATAGTCTGGTCTGTAGTCTGGCCTATAGTTTGGTTTATAGTCTTGCCCATAGTGTGGTCTATAGACTTGACTATAGTCTGGTGTATAGTTTTGACTAGTGCCTAGTCTCGACTATAGTCCGATATATAGTCTGGTCTATAGACTTGACTATAGTCTGGTGTATAGTTTTGACTAGTGCTTAGTCTGGTCTATAGTCTTGTCTGGTCTGGTCTTAGTCTGGTCTATAGTCTTGACTATAGTCTGGTCTATAGTCTTGACTATAGTCTGTTCTATAGTCTTGACTAAAGTCTGGTCTATAGTCTTGACTATAGTCTGGTCTATAGTCTGGTCTATAGTCTGGTTTATAGTCTTGACAAAAGTCGGGTCTATAGTCTTAACTATAATCTAGCTTATATTCTGTTGACTAATCAATAGATCAGTTAATTCCATCTCTGACAGCTGTCATCATGATGTAGAATTCTTTTTAACGTTTTTCTTATTATATTCTTCCTCATTTTCTTTAGCTCTCAAGTGGGTGACCTTAAAGAGAGTAAGAGAATACAAGGGGAAAGAGCATAAATATCTTTTGGATATAGCATTTTTTATACTTTTATTTTGTTCCTTTTTCAGACTATTAGCAAGTAACAGGGTTGCAATTTGTGGGTAGTATTAGTTGAAAATAGGAGAGTGGGTAAGAAAGGGTTTAATATTTATTGGGTGCTTTTGTGAGCAGCCAGGGGTTAATGTATTTGTTGTGATTTTTATTTATTTTTTTGCATATAACCATGTCCATTTATGAATATACGTTGCTCATTTATTGTCGGTCAGGTCGAGGTGACAATTTAAACACTAGCTTTTATACATATTTTTTTAAATAATACTTTTTTTAATGTTGGTTATGGTAGTCGGAAAATAATATTGATTTTTTTTGGGATAAAAAAACGAGAATAATAACAAAACAATATGTCGCGTCAGGTGCCTTTGTGGGTAGATATTTATTTAATATCTTTATATTTAATGAAATAAATTTATTATTTTATAAAATATTAATTAACTTTTTTTTGTATTTTCTTTTAGTCTATAACATCTCCGGATCCCACAGCATATGTGGCTAAAGCCAGAGTAACACGACCAACCCCACCACCCCCACCTTATAATCCCATGCAATTCGTACAAATCAAACCCTGTAATTTGTATCAAACAGCACAAGAACAACTTAAGAAAGCGGAAGAAGTTAAAAAGATTAAAGAGATACGCAAAGAGGAGCCAGAAGATTGGCAAAATGTAAGTAGAATAAAAAAAAAAAAAATATTTTTTAAATAGTAAAAAATATTTTTTTAAAAGTAAATGATTTAAAAGATCAAGTTTAGTTCTAGTTCAGTTCTAGTTCAGTTCTAGTTCAGTTCTAGTTCAGTTCTAGTTCAGTTCTAGTCAGTTCTAGTTCAGTTCTAGTTCAGTTCTAGTTCAGTTCTAGTTCAGTTCTAGTTCAGTTCTAGTTCAGTTCTAGTTCAGTTCTAGTTCAGTTCTAGTTCAGTTCTAGTTCAGTTCTAGTTCAGTTCTAGTTCAGTTCTAGTTCAGTTCTAGTTCAGTTTCTAGTCAGTTCTAGTTCAGTTCTAGTTCAGTTCTAGTTCAGTTCTAGTTCAGTTCTAGTTCAGTTCTAGTTCAGTTCTAGTTCAGTTTCTAGTTCAGTTCTAGTTCAGTTCTAGTTCAGTTCTAGTTCAGTTCTAGTTCAGTTCTAGTTCAGTTCTAGTTCAGTTCTAGTTCAGTTCTAGTTCAGTTCTAGTTCAGTTCTAGTTCAGTGTCTAGTTCAGTTCTAGTTCAGTTCTAGTTCAGTTCTAGTTCAGTTCTAGTTCAGTTCTAGTTCAGTTCTAGTTCAGTTCTAGTTCAGTTCTATTCTTCTAGTTCAGTTCTAGTTCAGTTCTAGTTCAGATTCTAGTTCAGTTCTAGTTCAGTTCTAGTTCAGTTCTAGTTCAGTTCTAGTTCATTTCTATTCAGTTCTATTTCAGTTTCTAGTTCAGTTCAGTTCAGTTCTAGTTCATGTCTAGTTCAGTTCTAGTTCAGTTCTAGTTCAGTTCTAGTTCAGTTCTAGTTCAGTTTCTAGTTCAGTTCTATGTTCATTTCAGTTCTAGTTCAGTTCTAGTTCAGTTCTAGTTCAGTTCTAGTTCAGTTCTAGTTCAGTTCTAGTTCAGTTCTAGTTCAGTTCTAGTTCAGTTCTAGTTCAGTTCTAGTTCAGTTCTAGTTCAGTTCTAGTTCAGTTCTAGTTCAGTTCTAGTTCAGTTCTAGTTCAGTTCTAGTTCAGTTCTAGTTCAGTTCTAGTTCAGTTCTAGTTCAGTTCTAGTTCAGTTCTAGTTCAGTTCTAGTTCAGTTCTAGTTCAGTTCTAGTTCAGTTCTAGTTCAGTTCTAGTTCAGTTCTAGTTCAGTTCTAGTTCAGTTTAGTTCAGTTCTAGTTCAGTTCTAGTTCAGTTCTAGTTCAGTTCTAGTTCAGTTCTAGTTCAGTTCTAGTTCAGTTCTAGTTCAGTTCTAGTTCAGTTCTAGTTCAGTTCTAGTTCAGTTCTAGTTCAGTTCTAGTTCAGTTCTAGTTCAGTTCTAGTTCAGTTCTAGTTCAGTTCTAGTTCAGTTCTAGTTCAGTTCTAGTTCAGTTCTAGTTCAGTTCTAGTTCAGTTCTAGTTCAGTTCTAGTTCAGTTCTAGTTCAGTTAGTCAGTTCTAGTTCAGTTCTAGTTCAGTTCTAGTTCAGTTCTAGTTCAGTTCTAGTTCAGTTCTAGTTCAGTTCTAGTTCAGTTCTAGTTCAGTTCTAGTTCAGTTCTAGTTCAGTTCTAGTTCAGTTCTAGTTCAGTTCTAGTTTCAGTTCTAGTTCAGTTCTAGTTCAGTTCTAGTTCAGTTCTAGTTCAGTTCTAGTTCAGTTCTAGTTCAGTTCTAGTTCAGTTCTAGTTCAGTTCTAGTTCAGTTCTAGTTCAGTTCTAGTTCAGTTCTAGTTCAGTTCTAGTTCAGTTCTAGTTCAGTTCTAGTTCAGTTTCTAGTCAGTTCTAGTTCAGTTCTAGTTCAGTTCTAGTTCGTTCTAGTTCAGTTCTAGTTCAGTTCTAGTTCAGTTCTAGTTCAGTTCTAGTTCAGTTCTAGTTCAGTTCTAGTTCAGTTCTAGTTCAGTTCTAGTTCAGTTCTAGTTCAGTTCTAGTTCAGTTGTTCTAGTTCAGTTCTAGTCAGTTCTAGTTCAGTTCTAGTTCAGTTCTAGTTCAGTTCTAGTCGTTCTAGTTCAGTTCTAGTGCAGTTCTAGTTCAGTTCTAGTACAGTGGACGTCCAATAGTACGTACACTCTTTATTACGAATATCCAATAATACGAATGGCAAAATTGTTGCATTGTCTACTCTATAGTACGAATAAAGTCACAATTTTTCTGTTCGATAGTACGAATAACGCATTTTTTATGGGAATTTTGGTTTTATTTACGTATGAATGAAGTTTTTTATTATGTTTTTATTTTATTATTTCGGTATCATTCACCTTAAGCTCAGTAATTTTGAAGTTTTTTTTGTATTTATTACAAGTGTTTTGTATTTTTAAAAATCCTATACACACAATTTACTGCATGTATATTTACAAATCAACAATTATTTAGTGTTATTAATTTATTTTATTGGAATTTTGATGACCCAAGAGAAGAAATTAAATTGGATGATAACGCCAATGAGGAAAGTATTTTATTAGTTCCCGACAATAACTCTGCTGAGAACAATATTGAAGCCTCAAAAGCGCTGTTATTGAAAAAGCCGTAAGAATCATTTTACAATGTAATAAACATCAATGTTAAATGATGGATTTTTTAATAAGTAAAATGATTTTATATACATATGTATGTATGAACTGTTAATTTTGAAAGTAGTGTGACTCCACATTCCAAACAATGGGTTTAAGGATAACTATTCTAATTTTTAAGAGAAAATTATAAATTAGAGAATTGTGGTATATTACATTCAAGTTTCTAATAAATGTTTTATGTAATCTGAACATTTTAATACATTTTAGAACACATATGTAAATTGCAAATTGTCTTTGGCACACATCTTTTTAAAAACATTAAAATTTAATACCTTCTACATATATCTCATTTCAACCATTGGACTCACGATACTTTCAAAATTAACAATTCATATACGTAAATATGTCCCTTTTATGCCTGTTTATGTACAAGAAATTTATTTAAAATAATACACATTTATTATATTTTGTTCCGTTATGTAATTTTTCATGAAAAATAAAACAAAAATAAATAAAATCCAATATTTTATGTGTATTATTTGAATTTAAACATACAAAATGTGTTGTTCAATAATACGAATTTTTCGGTATTACGAAAGGGCCTGACACTATATAATTCGTACTAGTGGACGTCCACTGTAATGTGTTTTAAGTGTTTTTTTTTTTTTTTAATAAAATTCGCTGTGTTTATTTTTCACAAAAATTGCAATTATTTTTTGAAAGTCATTTTTGTTGACATTATTTATTTTAATAAAAACTTATTTAATTATGGCCTTTTTTGTTCAGTCAGTGTTAATTTTATTAATAAAAAAAGTTTCTTTTAATAAATTTTTTTAACATTTTATTTTGTTCATAGTTTTTATTTGAATTGGTTTTTTCATTAATATTTTACTTTTAATTCATTAGTTTTTTTCTTTTCCTACAAATGTTTTTTTTTAGACAAAAGTGTGGGAAAGGAAGTTGTTTGTTTATTTTTATTGCCAATATTAGTTGTATGTTTTTACAACTGTTGCTTTTTTTCGTATTTTATTATTTAAAATGTCTCTTTTTGTGTAATTTGTTATGGTAGTTTTTTTGGTTTTTTATTTAGTATTCAATAACTTAACTTACTGCTACAACTTTATGTATGGTTAAATAATACTACTAAATATATTAATTAGTATTTGAAACTTAATTTCTTTCGTTATATGATTTTACTTTATGAATTGTTTGTTAAAAGTGGTAAATGGTTTGTTAAACATTAAGAAATATTAACAATTTGTTAACCCATTTTTCTGGTGGGTTTTTATATTGTTTTAATATTTATGAGTTTAAAACGTGTGTTTTTATTTTATTCAATTCATATAAATCTGCTAATAGGGATTGAATATTTTCTGTCAGTTTGATTGTAGGCGCCAAATGTATTTGAAATTGAACATTTTTTAAATGATGTTTTTTTAATGAGTTCAAGTTGCAAAGATTTAAATTAAACCCTAGTCTAGACTATACAGTATGGTCCATGGTCTTGACTATAGTCTGGTCAATAGTCTTGTCTAAAATATTGACTATAGTCTTGTCTATTGTCAGGTCTAGTCTAGACTATAGTTGAGTCTATAGACTGGTCTATAGTCGAGACTATAGTCTGGTCTATAGTTGAGACTATAGTCTGGTCTATAGTTGACACTATAGTCTGGTCTATAGTCGAGACTATAGTTTGGTTAATAGTCGAGACTATAGTCTGGTTTATAGTCGAGACTATAGTCTGGTCTATAGTCAAGGCTTAAGTCTGGTCTATAGTCTGGTCTATAGTAGGGACTATAGTCTGGTCTATAGTCGAGGCTATAGTCTGGTCTATAGTCGAGACTATAATCTGGTCTATAGTCGAGACTATAGTCCGGTCTTTGATCAAGGCTATAGTCGAGTCAATAGTCTGTCCATAGTCGAGACTATAGTCTAGTTTATAGTCGAGATAATAGGCTGGTCTATAGTCGAGACTATAGTTTGGTTTATAGTCGAAACAATAGGCTGGTCTATGGTCGAGACTATAGTCTGGTTTATAGTCGAGACAATAGGCTGGTCTATGGTCTGGTCTATAGTCGAGACTATAGTCTGGTCTATAGTCGACACTATAGTCTGGTCTATATTAGGGACTATGGTCTGGTAGAGACTATAGTCTGGCCTATAATCGAGACTATAGTCTGGTCTATAGTCAAGACAATAGTCTGCTCTATATCGAGACTATAGTCTGGTATATTGCTGGGTCTATAGTCGGGACTATAGTTTGGTCTTTAATCGAGGCTATAGTCGAGACAATAGGCTGGTCTATAGTCGAGACTATAGTCCGGTCTATAGTCGAGGCTATAGTCTGGTCTATAGTCGAGGCTATAGTCTGGTCTATAGTCGAGACTATAGTTTGGTCTATAGTTGAGACTATAGTCGGCTCTATTGTCGAGACTACAGTCTGGTCTACAGTCGAGACTATAATCTGGTCTATAGTTGAGACTATAGTCTGTTCACTAGTCGACACTATAGTCTGGTCTATAGTTAAGACTTTAGACTGGTCTATAGTCGAGACAATAGTCAGCAAGATCTAAGCTTTCAGATACTTAAACCTTTTGGCAACTTGTTGAACTACAAAGAAAGCTCTAGACTACAACAATTTTACAACTCGAATGTGATAAATATTGTGTTAAATTCATCGTCCATTTGTTATAGATCTGGGTTAGGTAACACTTTCATAAAAGCTTAAAAAAATTACTAAAACTGCATTTCTTAAACATTGAGCAAGTTCGGCAAAAAAAGCCCTTTGTCTATTAGATCACGCTCATACACACAATTCCAATTGATATCTACCGCGCTCCAAAGCCCCAATAACTCAGAAAAAAGTGTGTAAAACAAATTTCATTTATTTTATCTTTTTAATCATTTCAAAATCCTCTAAATATATGTAATTTTTTTTCTTTAACAACTACTGCATACTAAAAGAAAAACTTTCGTTAATCTCATAAACTAGTTATTACTAACTAACCACCAATTGCAGTTTTGAACGTGTGCAAATCAATTGCAGTTTCTCGAAATATTTTTATCAGTTTCACATGAAATAATCATAAAAAAAAACAATTGCATAAAATTGTATATAAAATGAAAATAAAATCCATAAATTCAATACATGAAATGATGAAAGAAAACGCTCTAATAAAAAAAAAAAAAACCTTTAAAATGTTGCTACTAGAGTAGTAGTTCAGCAGCAGAGTAGATTGAAATAAAAACACCACGACAGACAGACACAAAATATAGCTGAAAAAGAAGAATCAGTAATACAAATGACACTGTTACAGATTCGTGACAAATTTACACAAAATTTGAAAAAACTCACGTAATATGTTAACATAACACACATACACAGAGTAGAAGTATAAACTTAATAATGCATTAGTAGCTAAAGTGGGCTAAAAAAGTAAAGCTACACAGAGGAATTACTTAGCAAATCAGAAATTTAAAGGTTAATAGCATTAACCTCAATTTGACACCTTGATAGCTGGGCTATAATTTAAAATTTTCAATTACTTTAACTTTATAATAACAGCTTAACTCTTCTTCTATTATCCAGCCAAATTTGCCACAAATCGCTTAGATAATTATCAAGTTATGAATGAACAAACTTTTCACATAACTTTTGGCAAACGCTTTAAAATTGAATTGCCAACCTGCACCCCATTCGAGTAAATAAGCTGCTTTAAATCGCTAAAAATCTAGTTTACTTGCAATATGTAACACTGAATCCATATCTTCAGTTTCGATTTAAACAAATTTAATATGCCAAACACATCATTGAAATGGCCAACTAACAACTGCCTCCTATTTGTTTGTTTTTTCTTTCCTGAACTACAAATTCGTGGCTTATAAATATTTTTAACACCCATCTATCTTATTTGTTTTTTATAGTTTAATGCGTAACTCGTCTCACCAAAAAAAAAAAAAAAAAAAAATAAAGAAGCGAAAAATAATTAAAATTTTATTTCAGTTTTGTTTAAATACAAAAATAAACTATTACGCAATTGTTTGCTAAATAAACATATAAATTACCAACTTAAAATTTTTAAAATTTGTTGGTTTTTTTTTTGTTACAATTTTACTTTCTATGCATTTTAAACTTTATTTTCTTATTATTTTCTCAGCATAAATAAAAGAAATTAAAGATTAAATAATCGCTAGCAATGCACTATGGCTTAAAACTAAATTGTAAACATCTTCACGTAGGAATATGAAATGGAATTAAATTTACACAAAATTTTATAATTTATGAGAAATTTTTTAATAATTTATGAAAAGTTATTAAAAATTTAGTCATATGAAATGTTTGTTATGTTTCGGAAAAGGTTTTCAAAACTCTTTTAATTAAAAATTGAGTTATCGACACTAGGACAACAAGCATATAGAAGGCAGACAGATGGACAGAAGACAGACAGACAGACGGACAGACAGATAGAAGGAAAGAAGGATAGATAAATAGATAGATAGATAGATAGATAGATAGATAGATAGATAGATAGATAGATAGATAGATAGATAGATAGATAGATAGATAGATAGATAGATAGATAGATAGATAGATAGATAGATAGATAGATAGATAGATAGATAGATAGATAGATAGATAGATAGATAGATAGATAGATAGATAGATAGATAGATAGATAGATAGATAGATAGATAGATAGATAGATAGATAGATAGATAGATAGATAGATAGATAGATAGATAGATAGATAGATAGATAGATAGATAGATAGATAGATAGATAGATAGATAGATAGATAGATAGATAGATAGATAGATAGATAGATAGATAGATAGATAGATGCTATCTATACTATAGGAAGGATTTAAATAAGTTTGGAGAGATTTAAAACTATTTAAAGTACACAGAGATTTAGGGAGATTGATAGAGATGAGAAGAGAATAAGAGAATGTAAAAGAGAATTAGAGACATTTTGAAGGATTTAAAGAAATTTGAAGAGATTTCGAGATATAACTAAAGTAACTCTGAGACGAGTAGAGAGATTTTGAAAGATATGAAGAAATGTTGAGTGATTCAGAAAGGCATAGATATATTTTGAGATATTTGTATATGGGAATTAAAAATATTTTGAAGGATTCAGATAAATTTTAAAAGATTTTGATGTATTTAGAGAAATTTGGAGATATTTAAAGTAATTCAAAGAGACTTAGAGCGATGTATGAAGATTGAGAAAGAGCGAGAGAGATTTTGAAGTGTTTAGAGAAATTTGGAAACCTTTAATGAGATATAGAAAGATTAACGGAGTAATTTAGAAAGATATATTATAATTTGAGAGAAATGTGAAGAGATTTAGTGAGACTTAGAGAGATTTTGAAGGATTTAGAGGAATTTGGAGAGATTTAAAGTAATTTAGAGAGATTTAGAGAGATTGAGAGAGAATTAGAGAGATTTTGAAGGATTCAGAGACATTTAGGAGAGATTTTAATAGATATGGAAAGATTTAGAAAGATATATAGAGATTGAGAGACATGTGAAGAGAATGAGAGAATGTAAAAGGAAATTAGAAAGATTTTGAAGGATTTAGAGAAATTTGGCGAGATTTAAAGTTATTCAAAAAGATCGGAAAATTATATTGTAGAAATTATAAACGGAATGACAAATTTATACATAGTCTTCTCACAAAAGTGAAGACTCTAATAAAATTTTCAAATAATGTAAAGTTTTCACCAAAATGTCATATTTTTCTAATAATAATAATTTTCTTAGAAAAAAGGTTTCTATGAAATTAAATGGCGCCAACACAAAATAATGTTCCTTCCCCAAACTCCTCATACTTTTACCACACATATTTATTAAAAATTAAAACTCTTTAAACGATAATTAAACAAATAAATTTGTTCTCAAGAAATTCTTTTAATAAACTTTTAATTAGTAATTTAAACATTATTAAAACAAGTGAAATTTTCAAATTCTTATGAAATTCTTTAAAAAATAAACTCCCAACACAGTGAAAATGAAAAACCTGACAAACAAACAAACAAATAATTAATTATTTTAAACACATATTTTAGTAACAGCTGAAAAAACACACATACACACATATAAAATTCTTAAAGACTCTTTATTAAGCCGATATTTTTTTCTCCCATAATTAAACAGACATGAATGACAATTACTTTTATATATATAAAAATAAGTTAAACTTTCTCTGATTTAAATTTTATATTAATAAATATTCTTTTATTCTTTTCTTTTTTTTCATTCTCTACAAAAAAATACCCCACCAATTACGAAATGGAATGTGCGTTAAAAAAAATCAACAACCCAACCTTAAACAATTAAATTGTTTAAAAATGATTAAATGTTTAACATCATTATTATTTTTATAAACAAACAAAAAATGTGTTATTGATTTGTTTCATTGTTGCAAATGTTATGTGTTGCGTGTAATTGGTTTTCACTCTTAAAGAATCTGGACAATTGGAAGTCATCACGTAGAAAACGTGTCGAACATATTATTGATCGTGTGGTGGAGGTGAAAAAATTGGAATTAGAAGAACATGATCGCACGCGCAGAAAATCGAAAACATTTTCCGAAATGATTGAAGAGAGGTAAGTTGCAAAAAAGGGAAATAAAATAGAATTTAATACTAGTTTTCTAAAAAAATTGAAAAGGAAATAATTATAAGAACAAAGTTCTTTAAAATACTATGTCGAGACAAACTTTTTTTTAAGAAAATTTGGTCGAGACAAAATTTTTTTAAAGAAAACTTGGTCCAGACAAAATTTATTAAAGTAAACTTAGTCGAGATAAACAGTTCTCAACAAACTTTGTTGAGACAGACTTTTCTAAAGAAAACTTTGTTGAGACAAACTTTTCTAAAGAAAACTTTGTTGAGACAAACTTTTCTAAAGAAAACTTTGTCGAGACAAACTATTCTAAAGAAAACTTTGTCGAGACAAACTATTCTAAAGAAAACTTTGTCGAGATAAACTTTTCTAAAGAAAACTTTAATGAAACAAACTTTTCTATAGAAAACTTTGCCGAGATTAACTTTTCTAAAGAAAACTTTAATGAGACAAACTTTTCTAAAGAAAACTTTGTCTAGAGAATCTTTGCTAGAGAAAACTTTGTCGAAACAAACTAAAGACAAATTTGTTGAGACAAACTTTTCTAAAGAAAACTTTGTCGAGACAAACTTTTCTGAAGAAAACTTGGTCGAGACAAACTATTCTAAAGAAAACTTTGTCGAGATAAACTTTTCTAAAGAAAACTTTAGTGAAACAAACTTTTCTACAGAAAACTTTGTCGAGATAAACTTTTCTAAAGAAAACTTTAATGAGACAAACTTTTCTAAAGAAAACTTTGTCTAGAGAATCTTTGCTAAAGAAAATTTTGTCAAAACAAACTAAAGACAAATTTGTTGAGACAAACTTTTCTAAAAAAACTTTGTAGAGATAAACTTTTCTAAAGAAAACTTTGATGAGACAAACTTTTCTAAACTAACTTTTCCAAAATAAAACTTTCTTGAGACAATCTTTTTTAAGGAAAACTTCCTTGAGACAATATTTTTTAAAGAAAACTTTGTCGACAAAAACTTTTTATTTTCTAAAGACTTTTCGATAGAACACTGTCATGTAAAGAAACTTTCCTGAGGAAAACTTTATCTAGAGAAACTTTTGTAATTTCTCTAGAGAAAGTTTTCGAAAGAAAACTTTATCTGGAAAAGTTTTTTTGAAGAAAACTTTCTGCAAATCTTTATTAAAGAAAACTTTGTATTCAAAATTTTTTCTTAAAAAACTTTGTGTAGAACAACTTTTCTAAGGAAAAGCTTTTTCAAAGAAAACTTTGGAAAAACTTATCTTATTAAAGCTTTATCTAGAGAAAATTTAGAATCTGAGAAAGATTTTATTTAGAAACTTTATCTGGAAAGCGTTTTCTTCATTTTATTCTAAAGAAAGCTTTCCTGAAGAACACGTTTTTGGAAAGAAAACTTCATCTGAAAAAGCTTTTCTTAGGAAAACTTTATCTGGAAAAGCTTTTCTAAAGAAAACTTCATCTGAAAAAGCTTTTCTTAGGAAAACTTTATCTGGAAAAGCTTTTCTAAAGAAAACTATGTCTTTAAAATCGTTTCTTAAAAAACTTTGTCTAGAGAAAATAAGCTTTTTTTAAGAAAACTTTGGAAAAACTTAACTAATTAAAGCTTTATCTAGAGAATTTTATTTGGAAAGCCCCTTTTTAAATAAAACTTTACCTAGAAAAACTTTTATTGTAGATAAAAAAGCTTTCCTGAAGAAAGCTTTTTTCGAAGGAAAATTTATATGAAAAAGCTTTTCTAAAGAAAACTTTATGTGAAAAAGCTTTTCTAAAGAAAACTTTATGTGAAACTTTGAAAACTTTGTCTTACGAAATCGTTTCTTAAATAGCTTTGGAAAAACTTATCTAATTAAAGCTTTATCTAGAAGAACTTTTCTAAAGAAAATTTTAGTTAGAGGAACTAAAAAAAATAAAACTTAGATAAGAAAAGCTTTTCTTAAGAAATTTTTTTAGATAAACTTTTCTAAACAAAGTTCTAAATTAAAGTACTTAGTCCAGAAAATACTTTTTAGAAAATGTTTATTGATTGATTGTTGATAATGATTTCGATAAAATTTTATAAAATTTTAAAAAGTACTTTTTTGTAAAAAAGTACTTTTTTCAAAATTAATGTAAGATTTAGTGTTATATTGATTTTTGTGATTTTTTTTTAAACAAAATTTAAATTTGAACGACTTTTGCTATCAAATTTGGAAATAAGTACTTTTTTGGAAGAAAGTACTTTTTTGGGAAAAAATACTTTCTGACAATTATTTTTTTTTTTTTTTTTTTCATTGAATGTTTTGTATATTTTAGCCAAAATTTCAAGTTTAAACTAGTTAATGCTAAAAGTACTTTTTTACAAAAAAGTACTTTTTTCAAAAAAGTACTTTTTGAAAATTTTCTTTTATTTATTGTTAAAAATCCTAAATTTTATTAAAAAAGTGTTAAAATGTCTGTTTTAGGCTTATGTTTAGTGTCTTTATAATTATTTCCTTAAGTGTTTTATTAGATTTATTTGATATCATTATTGTTATTTCCATGTTTTCATTTAATGTGATTTTTTTTTTTTTGTGTATTTTTTTTCAGAGGTGAACGCTCTGGTGGCCGAGGCCTTAATAAATTGGCTTCTTTAGCTGTTTATGCAGAAGATGAAGCAAATGATTTAAGTGATTTAGGCATTGGCACCAGTAGTGCCAGCGGTAAAAGCAGTTTATCCGAAGATTATGATAACAATAGTGTTATGGTGAGTTCGCTTTAATACATTTATATATTTTCCCTGTTTTGCTTTGTTTTTTTCTTTTAATTTTTCTATATTAATTAAGCTTAAAATTTCGAAATGATCTACATTTTATCTTTTTCGCACAAAACAGCAGCAGCAAAAAACACAACATAATTATTACCGAGTGTAAAAAATTATACTTTATTAATTTTGAAAGTTGTTAGTGGAAAGAAATAGAAAAAAAAGCAAAAGAACTGGGTCATTGTATTTAGCGTTATTGCAAAAAGAAAAAAAGAAGCTGCTGTTCTTTCAATTAGTTGTTTAGAAATTGAAAAAAATAACTGAAAAAAATTCAAACAAACCACCATGATCATTTAAAAAAAATCTTATTCCTAGTTTAGTAGAAAAAAAAACAACAAATTTAAATACCAGTTGCGTTAATAATTTCTTTCTATTTAAAAGCAATAAGAAAATAAAACATTTAAAAACAGAAAATAATTTTCTGTTCAACCTAAAGTTCATTTATGAGCAGCTTTTTTTGCTTCCATTTCTACAGCTGTTTAAAGCCGGGCGTTAATAAAAAGAAAGCGTTTTTCTATTTTAAATTTTTTTTGCTCGTTAATGTTGTAGATTTTGTGCTTTATTTTGAAACTCTATATCATTGTTACAACAATTAGTTTGCAAAAATAATAGAAGAAAAAAAAAGCTCAAGTATATTGAATATGAATGAATGACTTTTTAAAGTGCAAACTAAAAGAGTTATTAGCTACTTTGGTAGTCAGTCGTCTATATTTTATTACTTTATCGTACACTTTTTTGTTTTTTGTTGATGTGTGATTTCTCAAGTGGAATTGACATGCTATAGAGAAAATAGATACTTTATGAAGATCATTAAAGGACGGTGGGACAAAAGTAAGGGGGAAACAAACAAGAAAACTCTCTCTAGAAAAAATGTCTAAAGAAACTTTTCCGAAGGAATCCTTTTTAAAGAAAACTTCAACAATCTTTATCTGACAAAAATTTTTTTTAAAGAAAATCTCTTTAAAAAAGAAAGCTTTATCTATACATTTTGTAAAAGAATACTTTGTCTAGACAAACTTTAGCTAGAAAACCTTTTCTTAAAAAAAAGCTTTCTCCAGACAAACTTTTCTAAGGAAAGCTTTCTCTAGACAAACTGTTCTTAAGAAAGCTTTTCCTACACAAACTTTACTAAAAAACTTTTCTACACAAACATTACTAAAGAAAAAATTGTCTAGACAAACTTTACTAAAGAAAACTTTGTCTAAACAAACTTTAGTAAAGAAAGCTTTGTCTAGACAATCTTTACTAAAGAAATCTTTGTCTACATAAACTTTACTAAAGAAAACTTTTTCTAGACAAACTTTACTAAAGAAAGTTTTTTCTAGACAAACTTTAATAAAGAAAACTTTATCTAGACAAACTTTACTATAGAAATCTTTGTCTAGATACATTTTACTAAAGAAAGCTTTGTCTAGACAAACTTTACTAAAGAAAACTTCGTCTAGACCAACTTTACTAAAAAAAACTTTGTCTAGACATACTTTACTAAAGAAAACTTTGTCTAAACAAACTTTACTAAAGAACACTTTGTCTAGATAATCTTTACTAAAGAGAACTTTGTCTAGACAAACTTTACTAAAGAGAACTTTACTAATTAAAACTTTGTCTAGACAAACATTACTAAAGAGAACTTGTCTAGACAAACTTTACTAAAGAGAACTTTGTCTAGACAAACTTTTCTAAAGAAAACTTTTTATAGATAAACTTACTAAAGAAAGCTTTGTATAGAAAAACTTTACTAAAGAAAGTTTTGTGTAGACAAACTTTTCTAAAGAAAGCTTTGTCTAGACTAAAGAAAACTTTGTCTAGACAAACTTTACTAAAGAAAACTTTGTCTAAACAAACTTTACTAAAGAGAACTTTGTCTTGACAAACTTTACTAAAGAGAACTTTGTCTAGACAAACTTTACTAAAGAGAACTTTACTAATGAAAACTTTGTCTAGAAAAACTTTACTAAAGAAAGCTTTGTCTAGATGAACTTTACTAAAGAAAGCTTTGTCTAGACGAACTTTACTAAAGAAAGCTTTGTCTAGACAAACTTTAAATTTTATCTAGTCAAACTTCTCTAAAGAAAACTTTAACTAAACAAACTTATACACAAAAACTTTTCTAAAGAATGCTTTATCCAGATAAGATTTTATAAGGAAAACTTTAGGCAAACTTTTCTAAAGAATTCTTTATCCAGATAAACTTTTCTATAGAATGGTTTATCTATCGAATGTTGTATAAAGAAAACTTTAAGAAAGTTTTTTGCAGGCAAAATTTTATAAAGAAAACTTTATTTCAAAAAGCTTTTTCAAAGATAACTTTTTGCACAAAAGCTCTATACATATTATCAAACTGTTCTAAAGAAAACTTTACTTATATAAACTTTTCTAAAGAAAGCTTTATCCAAATAAACTTTGATAAATAAAACTTTAAAAAAGCTTTTTCCAGACATACTTTCTAAGGAAAACTTTATTTCAAATAGCTTTTTCAAAGATAACTTTTTGCACAAAAGGTCTATATTAACAAACTGTTCTAAAGAAAACTTTACTTAGATAAACTTTTCTAAAGAAAGCTTTATCCCCATAAGCTTTGACAAATAAAATTTTAAACAAACTTTTTTAAATAATTCTTTATACAAATAAGCTTTTGTATAGAGTGGTTTATCTATCGAACGTTGAATAAAGAAAACTTTAAAAAAGCTTTTTCCAGACAAACTTTCTAAAGAAAACTTTATTTCAAAAAGCTTTTCCAAAGATAACTTTTTGCACAAAAGCTTTTTGAACAAAAATGTTATCTAGACAAACTATTCTAAAGAAAACTTTACTTAGGTGAACTTTTCCAAAGAAAGCTTTATCCAAATAAGCTTTGATAAATAAAACTTTACACAAACTTTTCTATAGAAAGGTTTATCTATCAAATATTTTATAAAGAAAACTTTAAGAAAGCTTTTTCCAAAGAAACTTTTCCAAAGTTACCTTAATTTAAAAAAGCTTTTACAAAGTTAACTTTCTGCACAGAAGCTTTTAAAGAAAAGGTTCTCTTTCCTTAATAATATTCCTCAAATTGTATTATGTTTTTATGTCCTTCGCTCCCACTGTCTCTGTGTGACTGACAGTGCTGCGCTAATTAATTTTAATTGTTTTCAAACGCTAAATTTCTTCTTATTTGCTTCAAGTTTGTTTACACTCGTGCGATTATATATTTATTATAATGAACTTTTTGTTCGAAAATAAAGCTTTAAAACAATTTAAACAAATTATTAACACCACTCAAGTACCATAATTTCCGTTTTTGCAGTTTTGTCGCCGTTTTTTTTATTTAACAAGTGTCAACAAAATCAAATCATTAATAAACAAAAAAGCACTTTAAGTCATTTTTAATTATAAAGCTGATCAGGAAAACGTTAAAGTTATATAAAACGAAAACATCACAGCGCCATAACAGTTTATCAATCAAATGACACAATAAATTACGATTAAAAATCATTTTCATTTATTAATCATCTTAAGTATTTTAAATACAGACACGTACTTGACAAACATTTTTGTTTAAATTAGTTAATTGAGTGACCATAGTATTCATATACTAAAAAATTAATTCATTTATTTTTGCTGCAAAAACAGCAAGAACTACGTCATTAAAAATCTATTTAAACCAAACGGTCTGAATAAATAAGTGAAGAAGATAAAAACGCTAATATGAAACGCTTCAATAAATTTCATCAATTGTTATTCAGTTTGTTTTTGTATTTGGGTTTTATCTCTTCTCTTGTTTTTTGAATACAAAGACGAACTGACTGTCTGACTGCCCGCCTAGCTGACTTCTAGTATACCAGATGCTGTCTAAATGGCTGGCAAACTGACGCTGATGATGATTGTAATGATTGTTTAATATTATTGAAATTGTTTTGAAAATTGGTATTGTTGTTGTTGTTGTTTTTTTTTTGCAAATTATTTGTTTTTGTTTTATTATTATACCATATAGCATGTGTTCTAAATGACTCAAAAGTATTAATTTATTTGTTTATAGTATAAGAGGCAGAGATTCTTAAACTATACCATCAGTTATTACCAAAAAGCTTTTCTCACGAAAACTTTAACTAGAGAAACTTTTGTACAACAAACTTTAAAGCTATGGAACATTAAAACTTTCTAAAGAATAAAAGCTTTAAGAAAGCTTTTTTAAAGATAGTATTAAAACTTTCTAAAGAAAAGAACTTTTAAAGCTATGAAAAGAAAGCTTTTTAAAAAGTAGCTTTAAATGTTTCTAAGGAAAAAATGCTTTAAAGTTATGAAAATAAAGTAATAAAACTTTCTAAATAAAGAAGTTTTAAAGCTATGGAAAGAAAGCTTTTCTAACCAAAACATTTTCTAGAAAAAACTTTTCAGATATTCATAAACAATACCATCAATGATTCTCAAAAAGCGTTTCTAAAGGAAACTTTATCTAGAGAAGCTTTTCTAAAACAAGCTTTAAAGCTAAAGCTTTTTAAAAGATAGCTTTAAAGATTTATAAAGAAAAAAGCTCCAAAGCTATGAAAAGAAAGCTTTAAAACTTTCTAAAAAAAACTTTTATAAAGAAAACTTCATTCTAGACAAACTTTTCTAAAGAAAACTTTATTCAAGACAAACTTTTCTTAAGAAAACTTTGTTTAGAAGAACTTTACTATAGAAAACTTTACTCGAGAAAAACTTTTGTTGTCTAGGCAAACTTTTCTAAAGAAAACTTTAACTAAATAACTTTTCTAAAAAAAAGCTTTATATTGACAAACTTTTTTAAAGAAAACTAGACAAACTTTTCTAAAGAGAACTTTACCTAAGCAAACTTATAGAGAAAGCTTTGTCTAGATAAACTTTTCTAAAGAAAACTTTATTCGGGAAAAACTTTTCTTAAAAAAACTTTGTTTAGACGAATATTTCTAAAGAAAACTTTATTCGAGACAAACTTTTCTAAAAAGCTTTTCTAAAGAAAACTTTGTCTAGAGGAACTCTTCTATAGAAAACTATATTCGAAACAAACTTTTCTTAAAAAAACTTGGTGCAGATAAACTTTTCTAAAGAAAGCTTTCTCTAAATAAACTTTTCTAAAGAAAACATTATACGGACAAACTTTTATTAAGAAAACTTTGTCTAGAAAACTTTTCTATAGAAAATTTATTCGGGATAAACTTTTCTAAAGAAAACTTTATACGAAACAAACTTATCTAAAGAAAACTTTTATTAAGACAATTTTCTATAGACAACTTTATTCTACACAAACTTTTTTAAGGAATATTTTGTTTAGATAAACTTTTCTAAAGAAAACTTTATTCAGAAAAAACTTTTCTTAAGAAAATTTTGTCTAGAAGAACTTTTCTAAATAATACTTTATTCGAGACAAACTTTTCTAAAGAAAGCTTTTAATGAAAACTTTGTTGGAGACAAACATTTCTTTCTAAAGAAAGCTTTTAAATAAGACTTTCTTGAAGAAACACTTTTCTTTTTATCCAGACAAACCTTTCTAAAAAAAGCTTTGTTTAAAAAATTCTAAAGAACACATTCTTCGACACAAACTTTTCTTAATAAAACTTTGTCTAGATAAACTTTCTAAACTAAACTTTATTCGAGACAAACTTTTCTTAAGAAAATTTTATACAAAAATTACAATTTTAAATGTTTTAGTACTTTTTGTCAAGGAAAAAGCTTTTATTTTTTAAATTTAAAGAAGTACTGGTACAAAAAAGTACTTTTTGAAAGAATTTGTTTTTTTTTACTTATTGAAATGTAAAAAATCTCTAATTTTTGCTAATGAAACAAGTTTGGAACTTTTTTTCAAAAGGTACTTTTTAAAATTTCATTAATTATTTAATTAAAAAAGTACTTTTTAAAGAAACTTTACCATTTTTTTACTTAGTTAAGTAAAATTAAATAAATTTTAGTAATTTTATATGGTAGGTACTTTTTAAAAAAAGTTCTTTCTGAAAAAAACTATTGGTACCTTTCACAAAAAAGTACTTTTTAAAGAAAATTTATCATTTTTGACTTAGTTTAGTTAAATGAAATAAATTTTAGTTATTTTAACTGGTAGGTACTTTTAAAAAAAAAGTACTTTCTTAAAAAAAACTTTTGCTACCTTTTACAAAAAAAATTACTTTTTAAAGAAAATTTATCATTTTTGATTTATTTTAGAAAAATAAGATAAATTTTTGTAATTTTAAGTGGTAGGTACTTTTTTAAAAAAAGTACTTTCTTAAAAAAACTTTTAGTACCTTTTACAAAAAAGTAATTTTAAAGAAAATTTATTATTTTTGACTTAGTTAAGTAAAAAAAATAAATTTTAGTAATTTTAACTAGTAAAAACTTTTACAAAAAGTACTTTCTTAAAAAAAACTTTTAGTACCTTTTACAAAAAAGTACCTTTTAAAGAAAATGTATCATTTTCTTTTTATTTTTTAGTAATTTTAAGTGGTAGGTACTTTTATACAAAGGTACTTTTTTAAAAAACTTTTAGTACCTTTTATAAAAAAGTACTTTTTAAGGGAAATTTATTATGTTTGACTTAGTTCAGTAAAATAACATTAATTTTAGTAATTTTATGTGGTAGGTACTATTTTAAAAAAAGTACTTTCTTAAAAAATCTTTTGGTACCTTTTACAAAAAAGTACTTTTTAAGAAAATTTATAATTTTTGTCTTAGTTAAGTAAAATAAAATAAATTTTAGTAATTTTAACTTGTAGGTACTTTTTTAAAAAAGTACTTTCTTAAAAAAACCTTTAGTACCTTTTACAAAAACGTACTTTTTAAAGAAAATTTATCATTTTTGATTTAGTTAAGTAAAATGAAGTAAATTTTACTAATTTCAACTAGTAGGTACTTTTTTAAAAAAGTACTTTCTTAAAAAAACTTTTGGTACCTTTTGCAAAAAAGTATTTTTTAAGGAAAATTTAATGTTTTTGATCATACTGTCATTGTCTTTGTTAAAAAAGTACTTGTTTTTAAATTGTTTAAGAAAGTACTTTTTGAACCAAATAAAATAATAAAGTAGTTTTGGAATTTCCTTTCATTTTATAAAAAAAAGTTTACTTTTTGATAAAAGTACCAAATTAAAGTACTTTTTTAAGCATTTCAAAAATTGTTGTAAATTGTAAAGTAAACATTCTGGACACCCTTTAATAGCTTTCAAACACAACAAATACTATCAAATACAACTTCATTATTAGCCCCCAATAAAATCTACTTCATTATTAACATTCCCAACACAATTATTATCTACATCATTGGCTAGATCATCATTTTCTATTAAAAATAAAAGTCATGAATATGTAAAAAATGTATTTTTATATATTTTTTTTTTCATTTCTCGTATACAATTTAATTTATTAATAATTTTTTTATGTGTCTTGTGTTTTTTTTTTTCTTTAATGTGAAACAACAAAAAAATATAAACAATATATTAACAAAATTTTTGTGATCATCATTTTTATTTAAATATTATTATTTGTTTTTATAATACACATATTTTTTCAAACAGTGAGTGTTTTTTTTTTTTTTTTGTTTTATTCTTAAAATCTGTCCAATGATTAACCGCCAATTCTGGTTCCTCTCCTCAATGTTGTTCCGTTTTTATACGAAAACAAAAAAAAAATTCAAAACACAAAAAAACTTTTTGTATTCGTTACTGAAATGATGCATCACATTTTGTTGTCTTTTAGTTTTATTTTAAACGTTCAATTAACAAGTCTTTTTTTATATTTATAAATATATATTTTTAAAGAAATCACAAAATTTTGAAAAGAATTTTTAAAGATTTTTTGAAAATTAAACGAAATATTAAGGATTTATTCGAGAAAATCCAGTGCTTTAAGGAATTTTGTAAAAATTTAAAAGGAATCACATTGAAAAAAAGTATTGAAAAAGTTGTTTTTTTATAAATTTTATTTTGAAAATATTTTAAAAATAAAAATTATTTTTCCAGCAAAGTGTAAAAGAAATATTTTGAAAATCTATTTAAAAACACAAACGAGAAAATGAGTGTAATTGAGGTATAAAACGCTTGAAGAGAGTAAACTACTCACAATAGTTTTTCTCTCTTTTTCCGCAGCCTAAAACTATACCTAAGAAAAAGTGCTTTAAAATAAGAAAATCGGTTTAATCTACTGCGCAATTCATTACGAATGTGACAAAATTCGTTTTGAAAACAAAATTTTGCAAAGAGAGCTTTCTAAAGAAAGCTTATTCTAGGCAAACTTCACTAAAGAAAGTTTTGTCTAAACAAACTTTATTAAAGAAAGCTTTGTCTAACCAAACTTCACTAAAGAAAGCTTTTCGAGACAAACTTTACTAACGAAAGCTTTGTCTAGACAAACTTCTCTAAGGCAAACTTCACTAAAGAAAGATTTGTCCAGACAAACTTTACTAAAGAAAGCTTTGTCTAGACAAACTTTACTAAAGAAAGCTTTATTAAAAAATTCTTTGTCTAGACAAACTTTACTAAAGAAAACTTTGTCTATACAAACTTTACTAATAAAAGTTTTGTATAGACAAGCTTTACTAAAGAAAGCTTTGTCTAGACAAACTTTACTAAAGAAAACTTTTTCTAGACAAACTTTACTAAAGAAAGCTTTGTCAAGACAAACTTTTTCTAGACAAACTTTACTAAAGAAAACTTTGTCTGGATAAACTAATCTTAAGAAAACTTTATCTAGACAAACTTTTGTAAAGAAAACTTCGTCTAGATAAACTTTTCTAATAGAAAACTTTGTGTAGACAAACTTTACTAAAGGAAACAAGCTTTTCTTAAGAAAAGCTTTGCTTTATACACCAAACAATCTAATACACTTGAAACATTTCGAAATTTTAAGCTTTAGAATACCTTAACTCTTTTAAAAGAAAGAAAACTAAATTAAATTTAAATTTCTCTCTATTTCTCTCCCTCTCACCAGAGTGACAACGCTGCTGAATTGGACAAGGCCATAACCAACAGCACTCACCATAATAATAAACCAAACACCACAGAAAGCACAACACGAGAATATATATCATCGCCCGGCTACGAAACCTCTTCGAGTACAGCACCAGCTAGTTCGCCCGATCCATGTGAATACACCTACGAAGGTGCCATACAAGACTACAAACAAAGAGTATCACGTGCCGCCTCTGGTCTCACCTCAGTGAACCTCAATAAACTCACCAGCCAGCAGCAACACACCAACTCTAAGGAGTCTACACCCGAAAGACCCTTAAATAAAGAAACAGCAGCTTATCCTCCTCGAAGAGGCAGTAAAATCGAAGATCGTCTAATGGGTTTTGAAGTACAATCGCCCAGCGAAGAGTGTGTGGAAAAGAATAAGGTTGATGTACCAAAGATTGATATATCGAAAAGAAAAGAAATCTTTGAATCCATTGACCAGACACCAGAACCAAAGTCAACTCATGCTGGTAGTAATGGCGGCTCGGCAGTGCCTAGAGTAACTCTAAGAGATCGTTTTAAGGTCCAGGAGACCAATAGCGAAACATTGACCGAACAACCCAAAAAAGAGCTAAAACGTTTATCGGGTGACATCACCAGCATTAAGGAACGTTTGCAGAGTCTCGAACAACAACAGAATTTAGTCAATGGTGCAAATGGTGCAACTAAAACCACTGCCAATAAATTAGTCGATATACCAGTGCCACCGCTAAAGGAGCGATTATCTAGTTTACAAAATGCTGTAACCAAAGAAGAAGTACGCAAACCACCGGTTGTGCTGGTCGATGCCCGCCAATTGGAGATCATGAAGTGTGAGGAAGAAAAGGCCCAGCAAACGTTAAAACAAGAAACAATCAAAGAGGAAAAAGAAACGAAAACAATTGCTACAAAAACCCAGGAGGTGGAAGAAATCGATAGAGATGATAGCGGTATACATACAGCCGATGATGTGGAACTAGAATTGGAGCGACATCAAGCCGATAAAATGAAAAAGGAGCAAGAGCTTAAGCTTAATGCCGCCATTGAAGCTTTGGCCAAGGAGGAACAGCAACTAAGTGAAGCGGCCAATGCTGTCAATCAAATCGAGGCAGAATTCGAGGAATTAACTTTAGGTTCTCTGCCACCTATGGCTAGCAATACAACTGCCTCTGAAGCCTCGGCAACCACCATTACTAATGATCATATGGAATATAGTGTAAGTTCTACTAACCCCCCCACAACAACATTAAACTATAATACATCTAGTAGTCATAATCTTAAAGAAAATATTATAGATAATCCTTTGAGTAGCAGTAGTAATTGTAGTAGTAGTAGTGGTAAAGGTCCTAATAGTAATAATGATGATAATATGGTGAAGGGTTTAGATTTTAAGACAGCTTCCAATTTACGCCGCAAACCCACAAATGAAATGGTTCATGCTAAGAATCTATTGCGAATCTTTAAGGATACTTTTCAGAATGATATAGAATTAGACGATCACGAGTTGCAGGAGGAAAATGAAACGAAAAATATTAGAGAGGAGGAGAAGATAACAGAGAACAAGGTTAGCAAAGATTTAAGCTTAAATATTAAGACACAGGTTTTTGAGAATTCGAAAATTCAAAAAGAGGATTCAGCTAAAGCTACAGTAACACCTAGTAGCTTGAATTCTAATTCTCCTACTTCGCCTTTAGCGACTGCTTCTGCAGTATCCGGAAGTTCTCCTATTTCCCCCTTAACACCCACCTTGATACCGCGTTGTAGAACCCCCTTGGGTAAACCACCCATGTCTCCTCAAGCTATTAGAGCCTCTAACAAATTTCCCTCAGCTACACCACCCGCTAGCCCTTCATTGGCGCGCAAACATGATTCCCAATTTAGCATTAATGGACGCGTAGAGATATTCAACTCCAAGACCATGACTTCTTCACCAAATGCCACGCAAATAGTGAAGCCAACTACGCCTACTATGACCACAAAGAAAACACAATTGCCCTACATTAATAGGCCCATAGGTACTACGCAATCTAACGATATCGTATTACCTAAACAAAACAATACGCAACAACAGCAATTGCCGCAAGAGGCAACCACAAAACAGCAACAGCAAACAGCAACAACTACAGTTATTGAACAAATGACAACAACAACAACCACACAGCAACAACATGTTGTTGATCTACAAGAAGAAAAACCTAAACAATTGATGAAATCAATGCCATCACAGCAAATGGTTAATGAACCTCAAACAAAGTTAGCTGGAGAAACTCAACATCATCATAGCGATGAGTTAGTCAAGCAGCAACAGCTGCAACAACAACAACACCAACAACCTGAAGTTGTTGTATGTGCTCCACCAATCACCATAGTAAATCCAGATGAATTACCGAAACCCAATACGGTTAAAAACCTTTCTAGTTGCTTTCAACAAGCTGACAGTAATGCAAAAACAACAACGGTTGTGTCTAAACAAATAATACCAAAACCTTTATCACGTTCACGCATACCACAGGCCACACCACCCGCCTCACCCATCATGCCCAGAAGACATACCTGCTATAACTCAGATAATGCCAAAGCAGAAGTAGATGAAGTAGAAACCGTTAAACTTTCTCCCAGTTCTGTTTCGCCTTCAGAGGAAAAGAAATTATCAATGATTTCTAATTCTTCAACGTCATCCACTTCTACGGGTTCCACAGTAATAGATAATTCCAAGAAGTTGTCTTTGGTCTCCAATGTTTCGAGTATTTCGGGAGATGTGGCTCCCGCTCTAGTGCAAACAAATGCTCAAGTTCATAAGGAAGCTGAAAAGGAAAAGGTTGAAGCTGGAAAGGAAAATGTCATAGAAATAAACAAATCAGAAATTTCGGAAGTTGTGGAGGAGCAGCTGCACAAACCGGCCAAAACTTTGGATAAACAGGCCACACAAGCCCTGGTAGATGAAATGATTAAGGCGGATACTCAAGCTCGCACTTTAATTTTGGACACCAAAGATTTGAAACCTAAAACACCTTTGAAACTCAATTTAGAGAAACCCCAGGACTTAAAAACCTCTCCCACGACTCCCCTAACAGAATCTGTACCAACCAAAGATATGGTTGTGAAAGAATCACCCAAAACTCCCAAATCACCTTTACCCTATACCTCACCCTTGGCTGCCTTGCATTCACCCAAATCAGAGCTTTTCAAAACTACCACCCCCTTAGTAGTCTCTACACTCTATGACAAATATCAACCTACAACTTTTGTACCCAACAATCAAAGGACACCCTTAGCTCCTTTGAAACCCATAAAACCGGGAGAACCTACTACGCCCACCATAGTAATACCGGCAGAATTACCTCCCTTGTTGGACTGTACTCCCAATGACTCTACTCTCTACAAATTGGCCTCTTCGGCTCCTCACTCTCCCACCAGCCCTAGGTCGCCTTACTCTGAAAAGAACATGGCTATAGATTCTGCCTTATGCAACAGTCTGCTCACCTCTTTGGCGGCAGCTACCCCCGCTGTCATGCAACGTCAATTTACAGTGGAAGAAGATGTTTGTGAAAAAGTTGACAAAGATACTTTACCCTTCCATGGGGGTTCTACTGGGTTTAAGGATATATCCCCCACCGATATAAAACGCTGTGATGGTTTAATTCCCACAAAGACCAACAAATTACAAATTTCGACTCCCCAAAGACAAATAACCGTTGAAGAGGAGTTGTGTCAAAAACTGGATATAAACACTCTGCCCGATGGCAAACAGCAACCTATTACCGGCTTTAAATGTATTTCTCCCACGGAAATACGCAAATGTGATAATTACTTTGAGACAAATGCAGCAAAACCCTTCAGCCCGAAACCCAATTCAAAACCCAGCTCACCCATCATGCAGGCCAGGGAAGCCCACTCGAAGGCTCTCATAGAAACCTGTGAAAAAATCATAGCCGAGGAACGTTTGGCCAGTACACAAATGAAATCTTCTCTACCCTCTTCGCCCGTGGGAACCCCACTTCTGCAAAGGAAATCGAAAATACCTAAACCCATCACATCCTGCTGCAAGGCTACAGAATCCCTAAATGAGGCAGATTATAAAAAGTCCCCTGCCTCTTCACCTACGGAAGAAAATGGTGGTGTTATAGCGCGTATGCATGTGGTAGAGACCCAAATCAAGGTAACCACCACCACACCACCGGCCTCACCCAAAGTGGCTATAAAACCATCAGCCTCTCCGCAACCAGCAAAGAAAACTAAAAATATATTCGATTTTCTAAAGAAAAACTTTGGGGTGGGCGGCCACGGCAATAAAGAGGAAGCACAGCCCTCTCAAAAACCAGAAACACCAGCAGAAGCTGATAGCTCCTCAGCCGCAACCGAAAACAAAGTATTAGTTCTATCCGAAGAAGAATTAAAGGATTTGGAAAAAGTAACCTATGATGAAATTCATACCTATGATAATTCTAAATTTTATGTAGCAGCTGCTAATGTCGACGATGATTTGGAAGAGGCCACACCTCCACCACTACCCAAAACACCCGCTCCCGTTAATATTGAAATAACACGTAAAATTATTACCAATGAAATTATGGAAGATGGTAAAACGGAAAAGGATTTCACCAAAGAAATTGATGATTTATTAGATGATGAACTGAATAAATTGAATCAGGAAATCGAGGAATTGGAAAAGGCGGGCAAGAGGCAATAGGCAGGGGAGGGAAAGTTGTAAGAAAGAAGAAAGTTAAAGTGGCATTAAAGGGGTTAGGGGAAGGGAGGTAAAGTTGACGTTAGTGTTATAAATTTGGTGCGATTTTTCTTTAATTTCAAATATTATTTATTAATTTTTCTCAAAAGCTTTTAGTTTTTAAAGATCTGATTTTTTAATTTAAAGGATTTTGTTTTAATACTATCAAAGCTTTTAATATTCCTATAGAAATTTCTCCTTTTCATATCTTATATTTCTTTTTCCTTTAAAGTTTTATTAATTTAAAAACTTTTTTTAAGGCTTTATGGACAAAGCTTTTTTTTACAATATTATTTGTTTTCTCAAAAGCTCTCGATTATTTTTTTTTTCTCTATTTAAAATCTTATTTGCTATTATTTTGAAAAAGCTTTTAATATAGAAAGTGGTATTTTTTACTTTTTTGTCAATATCTCATTAATATTTGTCTTATAAAGCTTAAAATTCAAAAGCTCTTATTATTTTGAAAAGCTTTCGAGTATTTTTTCAATAAAGCTTTAAGTTTTCCAGTTATAACATTAAAATTTCCTGAAAAGCTTTTAATTTCAAATAAAGCTGTTAAATTGAGAACATTTTTGAGCTTTATTAAAATCAAGCTATAAATTTGCAGTAAATTAGGCAAATATTGTAAAAGCTTTTTTAGATTTTCCCTCTTGCTTTTAGTTTAGGTTTCAAATAAAGCTTCAAAGTCAAAAGCTTTTTTGTTTTTTATGTGAAAATGGTTGGATTTTAAGGAAATTAAAGCAAATATTCCTAAAAGCTTTTAGGATTTCTAAAAAAATTATAATACTCTCCTATTTACCTTTCCTAAAAAGCATTTAGTTTAGCTCTCCAAAAGAGCTTTAAAATAAATCTACGTAAAAAATAATAAAAGCTTACTTCTTTCTCATTTTAAAGCTTTAGAATCACAAGCTTTATGAGCTTTTAAGTACAAAAATAATTTGATTCAAAGCTTTTGTATAAATTACTCAAAAGCTTTAAGTATTACTTAAGAAGTGAAACGTTTAATACTCAAAAAATTGGAATTCTAAAAAGCTTAGGTTCTAAAGCTTTTAGTTGAAAAACCACAAAAATTTCCAAAAATTTTAATTTCTCTATAAAAAAAATGTTTCATATTTTACGAAAGCTTTAAAGCTTTTTGTTTAAAATGAACTTTAAGCTTTACTAAGAAGCAGACATTTTAAATCTTATAGAAATTTTTAAAGCTTTCAGGTTTAATTTTTTGTAACTAATATTAAAAGCTTTTCGTTTTAATAAAAACTTCAATTTGTTGCTATAAATAGAAAAAATATCTAAAATAGAGAAAAAGTTTTAAATTTTAATTAAAAGCTTTTGCCTTAAATTTCGTTTACTTTCAAAAAAGCTTTTTGTTTTAAATTAATAATATTTTTATTTATTTAAAAGAAAATACTAAAATGTAGCATTATAAAGAGCTTTTATATTAAAGCTTTTTTTTGTGGAAGTAAAAGCTTTTGCAGAAAATAAGTAGTAAA